TAATATTTGTTCACTTTTATCTGTTCTATTTATATTTTTCTTTTGGCGCGTCTTACGCGGGACACCCTGTATATATGTGTGTGTGTGTGTATTTTTATTTCATAAATAGTCTTTAAATTTAGTTTAAATTTATAAATAATGAAAGTATATTAAGCAAATTGACTAGTCGCAGTTAATTATTTTTCGACTGTAAGAAAAATAGTCGTTTATGATTGGTCAGTTTCCTTACTGCTTACATTTTAAGGCCGATTTGTGATCGCCGAAACCGTTAACATATACTGTAATTCATAAGAAATTGACCAATTGTAGTCGATTATTACAAGAATAGTCAACTATAATTGGTCCATTTCTTATGGATTACAGCATAAGTTTACAGTTACGGCCATCATAAATTGGCCTTTAAAGCTTTCAAGACTTTTAAGGACCGGTTTCATCAACTCCGGTTAAGGTCAAATTTGACCGATGGTATTAGAATTCCAACTGATGGACATGAGTACTTTGTCATTCTTATTTATTAGAATTTTCAGTTAGCTACTCTGCTACTTTGAACCGTCGGTAAGTTTAACCTGAGTTGGTGAAACAGGCCCTAAGATCGATTTATGATGGCCTTAACCGTTAACTTATGCTGTAATCCATAAGAAATTGACCAATTGCAGTCGATTATTACAAGAACAGTCAATTGCGATTGGTCCATTTCTTATGTATTACAGCTGATATACTAAGATGATATACTAAACTCGATAACATGTCATCATTGGGATAACATGGCTTGCGTTCGATAAAATTTCTGGTGTATTTCAAAAAATGGCCGCTGCCAATACATATTTTCACTAGATTTAGGGCGGTATTCATAGTCGAATCTTATTTCAAGACCGTCTTAAGTAATGTCTTAAGATGCGAATACGGCTCTGTGATTGGTTCATGACATCTTAAGACAGTACTTAAGATGATCTTAAATATAAGATTGGACTATAAATACCGGCCTTAGTTATAAAATTTTTTTGTTGAAAATGAGCAAAGCAAATAACGTCCAATACCATCTTTTTTTTTGTTGCGATATTTTTTGATGTAACAAGATGTTGGCATTTTTGGTTTTACGACAGCAAATTAATGCTACGCTGACTCACACTGTCGTTGTAAGATACACAAGTGACACAAACAGGACTGCCGCCATTTTCTCGCATACAAACCGGAAACCGATGCAAGTCCGCAACCCTAATTAGCAATCTAGTTTAGTATAGACATCTGTGGCCTCAATTTATAAGTTGAGTTAAAAGTTACTAACATTTTAACTTCTAATCTAACTTTTATCTTTTTTAATAGCTAGTACCTTTCGTTTAATACGTAGCTTAAACTTAAACTATAACTATGAGGAAGACATCAGATTACCCATTTCTGAAGGTTATAAAGATGATATCATCAGCATCGATTGTGACGTAAACAATAAATTGTTAATTTCAACGTCGAAAGACGGCAAGACTAGACTCAGTGCACCGCACAATGGCGAAGTAAGCAAATCAACAATAATCTTAGACGCTTATGTATAGATCGTAAATCTGTAACTTGAAATGATTTCCATGTTAATTTTTCAGCTAATTGCGGTACTTCAAAACCTTAATTTTGGAAAACATGATTATTGTATAGAGGATGAGCAAAAAAGTAAAAAACATAATGATTGTACAAAGGATGAGCAAGAGAGTAAGTCCAATAAAGATTGGCCAAATACAGTAGCGTTTTGTAGAGATCCTACGCTTCCCTTAGCTGCCTCTGGAACGTATAATGGCAAACTTTTCATATGGGACGTTTCTAAACAGGTATTACTTTTTTTATTTGTAGTTAAGTTTTCCTTAATAAAAAGGATGTATCAAGATTGGGTTTTCTCCAGATTCTTAAGTACACAATACATATTTACCCGGGACGTCCTATAACTAAAATATTATGGAAAACTAACTCAACAATATTATTTCTGAGTACATCAGATGGAATAATAGGTTGTGTTGATGCAAAAACGGGCAAATATCTTTGGCTTTGCAAGGGACAAATATGGATAGAGGATTTATATATGTCAAAGTAAGTTTTTTTCTATAATTATATTCACATTATACGTGAAATACTGTGAGATACACATTATACCGTTTTACGGCATTCATAATAATAACCAAGAAATTAATTGCGAAAAATTAAAGAAAAACGCGCATTGAATAGTCGGAGGAGGAGCGCTTGAGTCGCAGCGCGACTCAGTAATATAGCGTGCGGCGATTAGAAGAACAACGCGCGACTGCTTACTTATATCGCTGCGCTCCTACATCTCGCCTCGACGCGGTGTGACAGTAGACGCGGCAAGATGTAAGAGCGTAACAAAATAAGCATAGGGAGTTGTTCTTCCAATCGTCACGTGCCGACATCCGCATGTTATATTACTGGGCCGCGCTGACTCGAGC